TTAAAATTTTAGATTTTATTCCAATTCTGGACAATTTGACTCAAAAAGACTTAATTTTTGTGCAGAAGCTTGAGCTAAAACTTTGAAGTTGATATTGAAGTGGAAAAAGTAAAAAAGATTGCTTAAAGGGCAAGAATCAGATGATAAGTGCTGGGCGTAACCACTTTGAGTGCATAGAATTAACACTTTGAAGAAGAAAATCCATGAAGATCAAGTAAGTAGCAACTCCAAGTGTTGAAAGTGAACACTCCAGCAACAGAAATTCTGAAGAGTCTTACGCGTGTTCACTTTCATTATTGAGAGTAGCCATGCTCAAGACTAATTTACTCAGACACTTTGTGCGTGGACACTCTGGTCACAAAAAATAGCCACTCGAAGTTGCGCGTGTTCATTCTGCCTATTTAAAGTAGCCACACACAAGACTTATTTGCACAAAATACATGCGCGTGAACATTCTTACTCTTAAAAGTGTCCATGCCAAATAACAAAATTTTGAAAATCACTTTTAAGTGTTAAATTTGGATGATTTGAGTTCCTTCCTCAGCAATAGAAACTTCTACAACACCTTTCATGTTATAATTCTTAGAGAATTAAAGTGTATAAGTGAAAAAGGGGAAAAATATTATAAATAGAAGTGAAGAGCTCAGATTTGGGGACTTTGATCCTTTTTTCATTTTGTAACTGTTTTAACTTCCAAGAGAAGTCAGAGAGAGAGATTGAAAGTGACTTTCAAGCTTCATTGCTAGAGGAATTAGGGTGAAGATTAGGTCTTAGAAGATGTTCTTCTGCTCCTTGTCTTCTTCTTCTCTTACTTTTTCTTCTTCCATTGTAATGTTCTAAACCTTTTTTATTAGGGATCTATGGATCCAGATTTAATACTATGATATAATTTTGGATCTGGACCTTGAGATTTTAATTGAATTAAGTATGTGATTCTGTTCTTAATGTAGTTGGGAACTAATCCTTCATTCAATTGAGTTTAGAGGAATCTTCATCAATAGAAATTGAGTTTATTTCTCAGATCTGAATCATATGCCTAGGTTATTGAGATCTTAGGAATAAGTATCATACTCTAGTAATCCTATAATTTTTAAAACTTAATGTAGTATTTGATTGAATTTCACCTAAGGAATTAGGGAGGTTTATTTAGGTATTAAGATCATTAAGGCAAAGAATTGTCCTTTGGTTAAAGAAGTGAAATTGATTATCAATCAATTAGAATTTTTAAGAGTCCAGAACATGATTACATTGCAATTGAAAATTTGGTGAAGTGATTCATAACTATTTTCTACATAGCATTTTCAATATAAAATTCGTATTCTGTTTTACAATATTTTATTATCTTTTATTGTTCTTATTTCTCATCTTTTTACATGTTACAAATCTTTCAAATGAATTGTATGGTTCAACTAATTATCAATTTGTAAAGTGGTAATTGAAAATAAGATCCTTGTGGACGATACTTGGGACTCATATTAATTTCTAAAATTTTATTACTTACTACAACTACTTAGTACATTTGCTAGTTCATAATTTTACACAAAGAATATTGTTGTATTCTGAATTGTAACAGTGGGTATGTCATGACATCAAGTATTAGCTAAGTCTTGACATGAAGTGTTGGCTAGGTCCTGACAGGAAGTACTGGCTAGAGTACATGGTATTGGCTAGTATACATGATGTGACTAAGGCTTAGTTCAGTGGCTACACTGTGTTGGGATCTGCATCAGTTGTATATGGTCATCATCATCACGTGGCTCATCTGGGTTTTGGCGTCTACTAGCACTTGTACCAGCATGCAAACCACGCAATCAGTAGGGTGCCATTCAATCACAGCAAATTGGATAAGATTAATCACAAATGCCCATACATCAACCTTATTATAAATAAAACAATGTGTAACATTCTTCACCTCATTGTTGTTGTAAGGCATCCACCTAAACTAAAAGAATTGATAATAAATATTAGACTAATAAGTTTTATAATTGAATAAAAGACTTAGTACCATATGTCATATTTTTACTTACCTTATTAATGCCAATTAAATCAATGATCCTCGTATATTGCAACAACTTATCTGTGTGTAATCTTGTTGATGACTTAAAATTTCACCTAAAATGAATATAATTGAATTTCATACTTGTAAATTTAACATATATAAATAAAATATTATAAAAAAAATAAACATACCTCAATGCTAGTGGAAAAGTGAGTGGATGATGGTGTCTAGGGCTAATTGAGGTATTATGTACTATGCCTAAGATTGTAGAAGAGGTAAATAACCCGCAATCTCAGTGACACTATATTTCACTACACGATAAAGCTCACGATACAGGGATCCTAGAATAGCAGACCCCCAATTATAGTTTGAAGTCCCAATAAAATCAATAAAAAGAGTGAGCCACTTCATATAAACTCTAAATCCAAATTTATTTGGGAATAATACTTTACTTAATAGCACCATTATATACGCTTTGGTGTAACAAATAATCGTTTGCTTAATAGTATTGTAGGGTAATACTCCAAATGTATTTGTGAACCAGTGTAGATTTACAAAGAATCCTTTTATGTTTGCCTCATCTAGAACTACTCCAAGTAATCTCCACACAATGCCCATATATCTCGATCATAAAATTTCTCCCACGCTCCAATGCAACCACTGACAGGGAGCTCATTTACATACAAGCCTAACTGAAACACAACATCCTCCAAAGTTATCGTACATTCTCTGTATGGAATGTAACGCTCCAAATTTTGTAAATAATATTTTAATTACTAATATATATATATATATATACTCGTCTACATATTCAGACCACCATTCAATACACAACATCATCACATACATATGGCAATAGAAGAGGGTGCATTCTGGGTTGCAGCTTCGCTATAGTGAGATTCTGCAGAAACCAGAGTGCAATTTTCTTTGAAATTTTTGCTGTAGCGAGAGAGGTGTCGTTGCAGCGAGATAACATCGCGACTAGAGGAGTATTTTAGGTTTTTAGGGCTTGGGAAATTCATTTCCCATTCCTCTCCTTGAAATCTCTTGAATTCTCTCGATCCTAAACTCTTTTAACCAATTAAATTGCCTCTAAAGCCGTTTGAGAGTAAGATTAAAGGTTGGGATCACGTTTGGAGCATTTGGAGGTAAGTTTTAATGGCTAGGGATTCAGTTTTCATCCCTCTTCCTTATTCTTTCAATTTCTCATGGAGTTTTCATGTGTTTAGGACGAAATCCATTTAGAGAGCATGTTTATCGTTGATTTTGTGTTTGGGTCTTCGATTTCAAGTAAGGGAGGACTCTACCCTATCTGTTATACTTAAAATTTGTTTGTATGATTATGTTTGTGAATGATAATGATTGGAATATCAGAATATTAGTGTTTTAATGAAAGTGATTTGATTATACTGAGATTGTGGTGAAAAGATTGCGTGGATTATAGTGTGATGGATATTAAGCATAATGTGTGTGATGTAGAAATTGATTAAATGGAGTGTTAATGTTTAAGTGTAATGTGATTGAATGTTGGCATACGTGCCATGTGTGAAATTGAATGGTTAGAAATGTGTGTGAATGACATGTTGGTTATGTGTGAATATGTTGGAAACTATGAATGGTTCAGCGATATACTAGAGGTGTGGAAGATAGGGGCAGTAGAAAAACCATGGGGAAGAGAGAGTGGTGGTGACACCAACAAAGAGCGTGAGTGTACCACAGGCTACACACTCTCCTCCTGACTTGACCTCTGACTAAAACCTTTGCGGGGGGTTCAATACCGCAAACATTCGATTCGTGGAGCGGGAGCTATCCAACGATCATACATGCTGTGAAACTAAGTAAGTCCCTGAAGTTGAGAGCATCAAAAATCATTGATCACAGTGCCACAGTGAGCGTGGCTACGTGCAATGAGGGCACGTGTATGTGGATTATTTGTTGGTGCAGTGAGCGCACCTGTTTGTGAATTGAAATAGAAAAGTATTATTTGTGTTTGTTGATACTTGATTGAGTTATGTTAGAAAACATGTGTGAAACATGCAAGGTGAGTCTTTGTATTTGTGTGTGATAGTGTAGAGTACTCACCCTAACATTTATTTTTTTGGTGACCAAGACGATCAGTATCGAGTTTAGTGAAGGGATGAATGAGATTGCTATAGGACTTAGAAACTTTATTTTTAAAATTGTGATGTATTGATAGGTCCTATAGCAATGATTTGATTCAAATTTGTAATTCATCCTCATTTTGAAGTGTTTTTTTAAACTTATGCATTGTGAACTATTTGAAATGAAATCTTTATTTATTCCCACTTATATGAAATTTATTTATTTGAAAATTAAATTAAAGTGTTACAATTTTGGTATCGGAGCAGTTTATCCAAACTGGACTGGAGTATCGGGCTGAAATGTCTAAGTTGTGTGTTGATATATTTTGTTTACCTGAATTATAAATTTTGTTATTGATCTAATGAGTTAAAGTGTAGTTTGTTGAATTATTTGCTAGCTTAGATTAGAATGACTGATAGAGGTGGAGGAGCTGAAGTCACCAATGACCTAGAGTGAATGACCCAAGTTCTGGAGGCCTTAGTGCATAACCAAACTGTGGAGTTTGCTGAATATTGAGGGTTGTTTGCCTTCACTAGGCATAATCCTCCTAAGTTTGTGGGCAAGTTTGACCTTGACGGAGCCTAGAGGTGGTTAGCTGTTGTGGAGAAGATTTTGCATGCTATGGGGTACAAGGAAGAACACAAGGTGACTTATACCACCTATATGTTGTGTGGGGAGGCGAAAGACTGGTGGAGGTTTGCCAGTCAGACCTTGCCACAAAAAGGTGGTTATATTCAATAGGAGGCTTTTAAGGCGAGCTTCCTACGGAACTACTTTCTCTGAGACTTGAAGAAGTAGAAGGCTCGAGAGTTCCTTGAGTTAAAGTAAGGGAGTATGACGGTGAGAGAGTATGTTGTAAACTTTCAAGAACTAATGAAGTACTAGTCTCACTATCAACATGAGGAGGAGAGGAAGACCTTGCGCTCAGTTTGAGCACGAACTGAGGCTAGATATTCGAGTTGCAGTTAGCGTGTTTGAGCTGACTGACTTGCTCACTCTGATAAGCAAGTGTAGAATATTTGAAGCCAATGCCAAGGGCAAGACTGTAGACACTAAGGGGAGTGGTTCAATGAAGCAAGACAGAAGACCCCCTAGATTTTTAAAGGGGCCGTATTCGGGCTCAAGTAATTCTCAGTACAGAGGAAGTTTATCTCAAGAGAGGAGCAATGAGAGTGCCTCTGGTTCCGACTCTTTCAAAGGGCCGATCAAATGCTTTAGGTGTGGAGGACCACACATGCTAAGAGATTTCCCATAGCCACGGATTAATTATGGTAATTGCGGAAAGTTGGGAAACACTGTTAATGTGTGCTGGGATGCTAAGAGGAGGAGCAGTGCGAGCACGAATCAATGGCCTGAGTCGAGAGGGAGTACGGGGTTGAGCGCGAGGCCATGTATAGGGCCAAAGCCGTGCATTCCTATGAGGGTCTTTGCTATGAGTGGGGTAGAGGCTTCCCAATCTGAGGAGTTAATTGAAGGTAAATGTGTAATTAAAGGCAGATTGCTTGATGTGTTGTATGACTTGGGTGCTATGCATTCCTTTGTTTCTGTGAAATGTGTGAAGAGTCTTGGTTTGTATGTGATAGAATTGCTGTGCAATGTTGTGGTGACTACTCCTAGGAGTAAACCGGTTGCAACGTCGTGGGTGTGTTTGGGATGCTTTATAATGGTGCATGGTAGGGAATTCGAGATGGATTTAATTTGTTTGTCTCTCTCCCAATTGGACGTAATCTTGGGGATGGATTGGTTAGCCGCCAACCACGTGCTGTTGGACTGTAGAGAGAAGACATTGATTTTTAATGCGTTAATGACTGAAATTCCAAGGCTTTTGAGTCAAGGTGCGTGGGAGAACACGGTGAGTACTAAGGCCTTCATGGTCATGTTCTCGCTAGAGGCTGAAAGTGGAATGGAGCCGGAGTATATCCCAGTGGTGAGAGATTTCTTAGAAGTCTTACTTAAAGATGTTTCAGAGTTACTGCCAAAGAGAGATAGAATTCGCCATTGACCTCATTTTGAGAGCAAGCCCAATTTCTATGGCACCAAATAGGATGTCATTAGGGGAGTTGGCAGAGGTCAAAAAGCAAGTGGAAGATTTGTTGCAGAAACAGTTCGTGAGATCGAGTGTATCACCATGGGGAGCATCAGTGCTCTTGGTGGAGCAGAAAGATGGAACTATAAGGATATGTGTGGATTACTGGCAGCTAAACAAGGTGATAATTAAGAACAAGTACCCTCTTTTGAAGATTGATGATTTGATGGATCAGCTGAGGGGAGCTATAGTGTTTTCAAAGATTGGCTTGAGGTCGGGGTACCATCAGATCAGGGTGAAGAATGAGAATGTACCTAAGACGGCAATCAGGATGTGATATGGTCACTACGAGTACTTGGTGATGCCGTTTGGAGTGACCAATGATGCGCCTACTGTGTTCATGGACTACATGAACCGAATCTTCCATGAGTTTTTGGATAAATTTTAGTGGTATTCATTAACGACATCCTAATTTATTTGAAGACTACGGAAGAACATGCTGAGCACTTGAGGATAGTTTTGCAAAATTTTGAGGGAGAGATAGTTGTATGCAAAGTTCTCCAAGTATGAGTTCTGGTTGTCTCAAATTCAATTTTTGGGACATGTGGTGTCTAAGGATAGGATTACGGTAGACTCTACAAAGGTGGAAGCAGTGACTCGATGGCTGAGGCCGAAGAATGTGATAGGGGTCCGCAGTTTTCTGGGACTAGCAGATTATTATAGAAAGTTCATTTAAGGATTTTCTAAGAAAGTTCATTGAAGTTAGTTTCCTAAAGCTGAAGGTGAAGTTGACTTAGTTCTGCTTGACCCAGAGCGAAAGTTTGATGTGTATTGTGATGCGTTTGGGCATGGACTTAGGTGCGTTTTGATGCAAGATGGGCGAGTGGTTGCCTATGTCTCAAGGCAATTGTGTCCTCATGAAGTCAACTATCCAACTCATGATTTGGAGTTGCCATAGTGGTTTTTGCACTCAAGGTGTGAAGGTATTATCTTTATGGAGTTAGGTTTGAGGTGTTTACTGATCACAAGAGCTTGAAGTATCTGTTTGATCAGAAAAAGTTGAACATGCGGCAAAGGAGATGGATGAAATTCCTCAAGGACTACAACTTCACATTGTCTTACCATCCTGGCAAGGAAAATGTGGTAGCCGACACTTTGAGCAAAAAATCATTGCACGTGACAGCAATGATGGTGGAGAAGATGGAGCTGATTAAGGAGTTTCGAGACATGAACTTGGCTATGGAGGTAAGGCCAAAGAGTTTGTATCTCGTAGTGACGACGATTCACAATGACTTCTTGGTATATGTCCGAGATGCTCAGTAGAGAGATGCTTTCCTGTAAGACATGATGAGGCAGAAGAGTGAGGTAAAGGACTTAGAGTTTCACTATGATGAGAATGGGGTAATCAAGTTCCAGAACCGAGTGTGTATTCTCTAAGTGGATGAGTTGAAGCAAATGATGCTTGAGGAAGCACATAAGAGCAAGATGAATTTTCACTCCGATGCGACCAAGATATACCAGAACCTTCGAAAGAGCTTTTGGTGGAATGGGATAAAGAGGGATATTGCAGAATATGTGGCTGGATGCCTAACTTGTTAGAAGGCGAAGGTAGAGCACCGACGTCCACTTAAGTTGTAGCAACATCTGGAAATCCCGGAGTGGAAGTGGGACATTATTTCTATAGACTCTGTTTCTGGTTTGCCAAGAACTAGGAACAACAATTATGCTATTTAGGTGATAGTGGATCAATCAATATGAAGTACAAATTAGAGCAATTGATAGACTTGTATGTGAGGAAGATAATCAGGCTGCATGAATTGCCGACTAGTGTGGTATCCGATAGAGACCCGAGGTTTACCTTGAGGTTTTGGGAGAGCCTGCAGAGGGTGTTGAGCACTAAGTTGAGGCTTAGTTCGACTTATTACCCACAGACTAACAGTCAGACGAAGAGGACTATCCAATTCCTAGAGGATCTGTTGAGAGCCTATGTGATTAAGCAGCAGGGAACTTGGGAAGAATGCTCATCATTTGTAGAGTTCATATACAACAACAACTTTCATGTTAGCATTGGGATGACACCATTTAAGGCCTTGTATGGACGGAGGTGTAGAACCCCTTTGTGTTGGTATAAGACTGGAGAGGCTACTCTATGTGCACTAGACATGGTTCAGAAGCAAAATAAGCAGATTAAGATGATCAAAGAAAAGATGAAGGCTGCATAAGATCGACAAAAGAACTACTATGATAAGAGGAGAAAACCCTTGGAGTTCCAGGTGGGTGACCATGTGTTTTTGAATGTCTCACCTGTGACCAGAGTTGGAAGAGCTCTGAAATCTAAGAAGCTATCTCCTAAGTTCATTGGGCCATTTGAAGTGTTGAGTATAATTGGTCCTGTAGCGTATCAGATAACACTACCTCCGAATCTCTCGAACCTACATCCGGTGTTCTATGTCGGTTCAAGTAAGAAAGGACTTGTCCTATGATGTATACTCAGTGAGGATTGCGGACCACCGTGTTAAGCAGTTGAGGGGCAAGGAAATCTTATTGGTAAATGTGATATGGAGCTCAAATGATGAGGGAGACGCCACATGGAAACAGATAGTAGAATGAGATAGTTGTATCCAGAATTGTTTGTGTAGTTTGTATGTTTGGTTGAATTTCGTGAACGAAATTTCCTAAAGGAGGGGAGAGTTGTAACACCTCGAATTTTGTAAATAACATTTTAATTACATATATATATATATATATATATATATATATATATATATATATATAAGATTGGATTTGGTTGGATTAATTGAAATTATTGTCTAAGCGTGTGCAGCAGGGTGTTCTCGTTGTAGCGAGAAGGCCTTGGGCGAAGGGAATAAAACTATTGCGTTCTTGCTATAGCAAGTTGGGTTGCAGCCTCGCTGTAGCAAGAGAGTCTTGCTGTAGTGAAATTCTACAAAAATCAGAGTACAATTTTTTCTGAGATTTATGTTGTAGTGAGAGGGGTGCCACTGCAGGAAGGATCGCAATCAGAGGGGTATTTGAGGGGTTTAGGGTTTAGAAAATTCATTTCCCATTCCTCTCCTTGAAATCTCTTGGATTCTCTCGACCCCCAAACCCTTTTTCACTAATTAAATTACCTTCAAAACTGTTTAGGAGTAAGATTGAAGGTTGGGATTGTGTTTGGAGCATTTGGAGGTAAGTTTTAATGGCTAGAGTTTCAATTTTCATCCCTCTTCCTTATTCTTTCAATTTCTCATGGAGTTTTTCATGTGTTTAGGATGAAATCCATTTGGGGAGCATGTTTATCATTGATTTTGTGTTTGGGTCTTCGATTTCAGGTAGAGGGGGATTCTACCCTATCTCTTATGCTTATAATTCATTTATATGATTATGTTTGTGAATGAGAATGATTGGAATATCGGAATATGAGTGTTTTAATAAAAGTGAATTGATTGTAGTGAGATTGCAGTGAAAAGATTGCGTGGATTATAGTGTGATGGATATTGAGCATAATGTGTGTGATGTAGAAATTGATTTGATGGAGTGTTAATGTTTAGGTGTAATGTGATTGAATGTGGACATACGTGCTATGTGTGAAATTAAATGGTTAGAAATGTGTATGAATGACATGTTGGTTATATGTGAATATGTTGGAAACTATGAATAATGCAGCGATACGCTGAAGGTGTGGAAGATGGAGGCGATAGAAATACCTTGGAGAAGAGAGGGTGGTGGTAACACCAATAATGAACATGGGTGCACCACAGGCCACACACTCTCCTCCTGACTTGGCTTCTTACTAACACTTTTGCTTGGGGGGCTCAATACCGCATACATTGTATCCGTGGAGCGGGAGCTATCTGGCCACTATACATGGCGTGAAACTGAGTAAGTCCCTGAGGTTAAGGGCATCAGGAATCTGTGATCACAGTGCCATAAAAAGCACATATGTATGTGGATTATTTATTGGTGTAGTGAGCGCACCTGTTTGTGAAGTGAAATAGAAAAGAATTATATATGTTTGTTGATACTTGATTGAGTTATGTTAGAAAACATGGGTGATACGTGTAAGGTGAGTCTCTGTACTTGTGCTTGATAGTGTAGAGTACTCACCCTTATATTTATTTTTCAGGTGACCAAGACGATCAGCACTAGGCTCCGTGAAGGGATAGATGAGACTGCTATACGACTTAGAAAATTTATTTTTAAAATTGTGATGTATTGATAGGTCTTGTAGCAATGATTTAATTCAAATTTGTAGTTCATCCTCATTTTGAAGTGTTTTTCTAAACTTATGTATTGGGAACTATTTGAAATGAAATCTTTATTTATTCCCACTTATATGAAATTTATTTATTTGGAAATTAAATTAAGGTATTACATGGAAGATGGAATATGTGCGACTTAGGCTTCCAACACTCTACAAGTGCACTAATGAGTGCCTTATCATAATCAAATATGGGCACCATTTGTGCAACATGTCAAAACTAGTCTGCCTAGGAAATGGTTCCATCATCGGATCTAGAGCAACCATTGTATCATAGCGTCTACTTTTTAAAACTCGAACTTCCTATAAGATAAAAAAAAAATTTATATATAAGGTATTGTTTACCAAAAATAAAAGTGAACATTATAACACCCTAAATTTCTCCATTTTAATAATGTCCATTTTCGTAAAATCTTAGAAAGAATAATCAACCTTTCTGTATGATTATTAATCAAATTTACAAAATAAGACCTTTCATAACAGTTAATATATATACAAAACCACTCTAATAAAATCTACTGCATGTTATATATTACAAATTAATATTTACATATCATTATCCAAAATAAATCAAAGTTTACATATATTCATACTCCTTTCCACATACTGAGAAACTAAAACTAGTCATCTATATCACGCCAGCCTTTAATTTTTGCCTAGTCTTCAGCCGTTAATTCATCATCCTCTCTAAGATAAGCGTCGCCAGAGTTCGCCACTAATTCTATACTAGAGAATCTTTTAAATGTATAGCTATTAGGTCTCCCTAGCAAATCATGATCATGATAAGTAAATATGTTATTCATGATCTTGGAAAGCCTTTCCATTCCCTGATGTAGATAAAAGCTGAGAGTTTGATGAATTTGACCATTGGTTGGAAAATTAAAAGGAATTGCATAATTATAGACTACTTCATTATAGGAAGGAATAAAGGCAAGTAATTAATATGTCAATAGTTTGCTATGTTTTTACGGCATATGCACAACCATTGACAATTTTTGGAGCTTTGGGAAACGTGTCTTGGGGCTCTTCTTCATTTGAGACTCTTAAATTTATGTTTACTCTTTGAATGATTATGAATTGACTTATTATTATTTTAATTTCTTATTATATTATGTCTAGATAAATGTATAGTTAGGAGTTAGCTAGGACTATAGTGGATTATTTGCATAACTTTGTATTCTTTGTGATCAATGATAATTTCAATTTCCTTTCTTAATAATAGAATTGCATACTTCCTATGCAAATAATTCATTAGATTTTGTAGTAGAGCCATTTATGAAGCTCAAGTTATATTTGCCTTCAATGTGTTTTTCATGTCCTTCGACTGATTGCTATAATGCTCTTCACCACGTAACAAAACATTCATCGATACAATCTTAGGATTGTCTGACGCATAGACATTAAACAAGAATAAGGATCAATGATTTTAGTGGTCTTGTCATTGTTTTATCTTTTGCCATGATGAGAATGAATTATAACAAATGGAATGAACCAATATGACAACATAAATGGTGGATGCTTCATGTGAAAGGGGTAAAACAAAATGGTTCACAGATCAAGCTTTTAATACCATAATAAAAGATAAAAGGAAAACTTGTATTATACCTTTACAAATTAAAACAACCTATAAAAAGGAATATAAGGGTCAACAGATCGAAATCAATGAAACCAAAGACTCAAAATTGGTTGTTGAGTAGGTTAGTACAAATGTCAATTAATTCAATCCCAACTTTCAGTTACATATAGGTTGGGTTGGTTGGTTATTGTTGACATTTTTCTTAACCAAGTTTATCTAACTCAACCAAATGACAAAACTATATCTTTTTTATTTTCAATAAGATTGGCTAGATCATAACAAAATTTGTTCAAGGCCTAACCCAAATACCCATACCAGCTTATGTTACCATGACAGAAAGGTAAAGAAACCTTAATTAGGATAATTTTTCTTTCTAGTTTGTTTCTTTATACTATTTTGATCTTGAACACCTGTGCTTTACAATTGTCATCGTCTTCCCTCTTTTCTATGGTCTTACATAGCTATGTTGTAACTAAGGTTAGTGTT